ATCTACGCCAGGGCCATGGGTGCACAGGAGCTACACTGGCTCACCTACCTGCTGATTGACTTGGGAGAGCAGTTTCGTTCGCCTCGAGTTCTGTACATAGACAACAAGGCCATGATTGCCTTGTGTTAGGAGCACAGACTAGAGTACAGAACGAAGCACATCACTCTGCGATACTTTTTTGCTCGAGAGTTGCAGCAGCGTGGCCAGCTTCGTCTTGCGTACATGGCCACTAGGGCCAACACTGCTGATATATTCACCAAGGCACTTCCGCCTGGTGATCATCAACGCTTCTGTACTGTGTAAGGCCTTGTGCCTACTTTGCCTCACTTGCTTACTGCTTGACTCTGCCTGTACTGTGATCTATATTTATACGTGCATGCTTGCACTTGCTAGGATATGATCACTGTATTGTTTGTTCTCTTTATATCACTCTGCATGTGAACTGGCCTTGTGGCCCTTTGCTTGTGCTCGGACTGCGTGGTGTCTTTGTGATCCACCCTGAGCTTGCTTTGCTTTTCTTGACTGGTCTTGTGACCACTTGTTCTCCCCCACTTTGCCTATGGGGGTGTGTCTATCGAACATTATAGCTTATACATTGTGTAGGCTGTAGTGGGGTAGCCCATAAGGGGTACAACCCAATTAGGGTTAGTACTTGTACCCAACTCTTTGCTAGTTCATTCATTCTCGTTCGTTCTTTTTGACAGTCGCAATATAATTATATGCATTATATTACAACTGCCTGTAGTGTAGACTTAATGTAGTTTCTAAACTTGTTTGGTGGTGCACCTCTCTCTTTTCTTGCATATATGTTTCCAACTTTCTATAGTGAAACTCCTCTTTTCTCGACTTTCTCCTCTTGCTTGCCAAAACTCTCTCGACATCCATGCCTAGTCTCAACCCTAGCATGTCTCCTAGTCTCACACCATAGTTACTATTTAGACATGGTATTAGAGTGGTTACGACCCAATGGGCCCACTGCATTTTAATCCTCGCATGGCGTCCGCCTCGCTGGCGCCCGTCGTTTTCTGCTCGTCGCACGCCCCGGGCGTGCGTCGGTTTTCTGCTCGTCGCACGCACCATTCGTGTGGCGGTTTCTGCCCGTCGCACGCCCCGGGCGTGTGGCAGTTTCTGCCCGTCGCACGCCCCGGGCGTGCGTCGATTTCTGCCCGTCGCGCGCCCCCAGCACACGACGGTGTTCTGCCCGTCGCTCGCCCCCAGCGTGCGACGGTTTTCTGCCCGTCACACGAGGGCCCCGCTGCCCTGCTTCCCGTCGTCCCCGCCACCCACTTCCTCCTCCCTCTCCTACTTCGCGTGCAGAAGTTTGGGCGGGGGGGGGGGGGGGGGAGGGTGTTGGGGGGTTGCAGGAGTGGCGGTGGGGGGTGGTTGCACCTCCAGCGCCCCGCTGCTCTGCTTCGTCACCAAGCCAGCAGCCTCCCCCTCCCCCCCCCCCCCCCCCCTCCGTCTCTCCTTTCCCCCCCTGCTGCTCCTACTGCAGCGGCGATTTCTGCCCGGCGCGTCGTGCGCCTATGCTCGGCGCCTCGTGCGCCCTGCCCGTCGTGCGCCCTGCTGTCGCCCGTGCAGCCCCTGAACCGCCGCCCCCCCCCCCCCCCGCCCCCCCTCCCTTCCCCTCCCTGATCGTGCAGCAGGGGGGGGGAGGGTATGGGGGTGGCGGGTGTGGCGCACGACGGGTTCCTGCCCGTCGCGCGCCCTGCTGTCGCCCGAGCGGCTCCTACACCGCCCCCCCCGCCCCCCCCTTTTTCTCCTCCATCCCCTTGCTGCGCGTGCAGCAGTGGGGGGAGGGTATGGGGGTGGCGGGTGTGAGTGGTCAGCCGCCCACCACCTCCTTCTCTCTCTCCTTGCCGCAATTGTTGCTGTGTTGGGAGAGAGGGGGGGGAGCTTGGAAGTTAAGGGGGTGGCAGGAAGGGATCCGCAGCACCAGCCCCCCCGCCCCCCCTTCTCCTCCATCTCCCTGCTGCGGGTGCAGAAATGGGGGTAGGGGATCTGCAGCACCAGCCCCCCCGCCCCCCACCCCTTCTCCTCCATTCCCGTGCTGCGGGTGCAGCAGTGGGGGGAGGGTATGGGGGTGGCGGGTGTGAGTGAACTGCTGCCGCCTCTCCTCCTCTCTCCCCCACTGCTGCACATGCCGCTGTGGGGGGGGGGGGGGGGGGGAGGGTGTGGGGGAGTTGAGGGAGTGGCGGTAGGGATGCTGAGGGGTGTGAAAGGGAGGCTTGGGAAATGGGGCAAGGTGAAGGGGGGTGAACGTCGTGAAGCCAGCAGCTCCAGTCACCCGTGAGACCGTTGCGCCATTTGCCCATGAGCCCGTTGCTCCTGTCGCCCGTGAGTCATTTGCTCCTGCCGCTCGCTTAGCCGCGGAGCCAGTTACTCCAGTTGCCCATGTTCCAGTTGCTCCATTTGCCAGTGTGCCAGTTGCTCCAGTTGCCCGTGTGCCAGCAGCTTCAGCCGCCACCCACCACCTCCTCTCCTCTCATGGTCCCTCCTCCTCTTCACTAGCCCTCTCCTTCCTCCGCTGCGTCTAGTGTACCCCTTCAGGGGGTGTTCTGCACATGATTCTTCACTGCAGGCAGTTAGGGGATGTGTCGGAATATAATTGCATGCATTATATTATAACTGCCTGTAGTGTAGACTTAATGTAGTTTCTAAACTTGTTTGGTGGTGCTGTCAGAATCCCAACCACTAGACTATTGGGATAAAAGGGTTTGTTTGTGTAGTGGGTTTGTGTGCCCATAACCCCCCAGACGAACGCGCCTGTAACCCCCCTAGGATCAATCGGGCATCCACAGTGCAGATCTACTGACACCCCCACACACTGGGAGGCCCAGGACTGAGCACAGCGGCAATGGCCTACATGTGCATACACTGGGATTCGAACACGAGACCGCTCTGATACCATATCAGAATCCCAACCACTAGACCATTGGGATAAAATGGCTTGTTTGTGTAGCGGGTTTGTGCGCCCATAACCCCCCAGACGAACGCGCCTATAACCCCCCTAGGATCAATCGGGCATCCACAGTGCAGATCTACTGACACCCCCACACACTGGGAGGCCCATGACTGAGCACAGCGGCAATGGCCTACATGTGCATACACCGGGATTCGAACCCGAGACCGCTCTGATACCATGTCAGAATCCCAGTCACTAGACCACTGGGATAAAAGGGCTTTTTAAGTAGCGGGTCAGTGCGCCCATAACCCCCCAGGACAACGAGCCTGTAACCCTTCCCTAGGATCAATCGGGGATCACCAGTGGACCTCTGACACCCCCCCTCCCTACAATGTAGGGTCAGGGTAAAGTTCTCAAAGCCACAAGTTATATTGATGATTAAATGTAATCTTTACAACTTAGCTTGACAATTAGGGTTTTAGAAAAACCCGTTACACTGAAAATCAGAGTACAAAAAAAACAAAAATAGGCCTGGCGCCAGGGCCTCAGATATCAGGAAAAAAACCCTGAAATTCTTGATTTTTGCAGTCCTTTTTTTACCTACACTGCAAAATCAGTGTTGAGATTTTTGTGGGACTGATCTTTCAGCCTTTTTTGTTAGGCCACACTGAAATTTCAGACCTTTTTCCCCAAGTACACTGATTCCACAGCGTTGTAACGAAACTAACACTGAAATCAATTCTTGTTCCGTTCCGTGTGGATTTGCCAGCAGTTACAGGGGATCTTAGATTCCTGCTGTGCCATCACTCCATTGGGTAGTTTCGCTGCAACATGAAGTGTTGGCTAATCAGAATGTGGCAACCATGTGGTGCTGGAGGGCTGCGAGGGTTCCTGCACCGTTGGCTGTGCTGGCAAGCACTGATGCTCCCATTCCCTCCAATCCAATCTCTCTTGTTTCTTTTCCTCCTGTTTCTCTCTCCCTCCCTCTCAGCCTGATTTCTCTCGCGTTTTCTCGTCTGCACTAATACATGGCGCCATCAGCACCAGAAACGGCGGGTTGTCGGGAATCGAACCCATCGCGAGCGCCGTCGAACCTCCTCTTGTCTCGCCGAACACATCGCTACCGTTCGACGCGATCCGCATCGCATGCTGCGAGATGGTCGTCAGCCACGTGGCAATTCCCGTCGGCATCGCAGGCCCGCTACGACTTGACGACGCATAGTTTTTCGTGCTAATGGCGACGACCGAAGGCTGCCTTGTCGCCAGCACGAATCGCGGCTGAAAGGCCATCTGCGCCGTGGGCGGCGCGCAGAGCGTCGTGCTGCGCGACGGCATGACCCGCGCATGACCTGCGCGCCTGCCGTCCATTCCCCCGCTCCCTTTACCCCGCACTCCATCCACTCCCTCTCTTCCCGGTCGTCTCCCCCCCAACCGTGCTAGTCTTCCCTCCTCTCTCCCTGCCTCACCCTGCCTGTCAATCTGGTTCCTCCCCCAAACCCTGCCCCTGCAGCTTCAACGTGTGTGTGTCGCAAGCAGAAGTTAAGCCAGGGTGTGTGCTGCGGCAGAGCACTGTCACGTACTGGTGTCCCAAGCTGAGGAGTGAGAAGAACCAAATGCTAAGGGCAGTGATGATAGTACAGCTGATGATGATTCATGAGGCATGTTAGCTTAGCAATGCTCCGGAAGGCTGCTACTGACTTAGTATTTAAAATAGAGTTTTCTAATAATGACAGCCTTTTATATTATTGAACACTGATGCATCAGCCTTTTTTCAAAGGCAACACTGATATTTCAGCCTTTTTTTTTTAGGAACACTGTCAATCAGGGTTTCTACACAGGGGTACCCTGATGGGTCGACGGCCCTAAAAGTGAATCTGAAGCCCTGCCTGGCTCGTGCACGGGCGCGCGCACAAGCGCACGCACGCACGCACGCACGCACGCACGCACACACACACGTACATACATATGTACATATACATCTGAACATTCACACTGCTTTTTGGGGGATGCCGTTATTAGTAGCGTTTCTTGATATTCTTACTCGTCAAATGGAAATTGCTACTTGTCAATACTACAACGTATCCTATCCTTCAGCCTAGTTGTTTTCAAGAATCTGAAGCTGTTCGTTGATGCTTAATACACTTGCAGAAATCCCCTTCTCCTGCACCTGCGCATCCACCTTAACAGCCGCGCTCAGCTCCTCTTTCCCCACCACCTCTTCCCGGATGGACTGCAGCTCGTTGGCGATGTGTGCCATGCTTGGGCGGGCTGCAGTGCGCTCCATGGTGCAGGTGAGGGCGAGCTGAGCCACACGCAGCACAGCATCTGCAGGGGCGTCCATTGTGGGGTCCGTGAGGCTTCCCAAGTTCCCCGAGGATAGGCACGCCGACGCCTGAGAGAGTGGAGCGGGCAGGAGAAACCACAAACGGAAAAAGGTGACCCATGTCAACAAGGAAGCATGGACAGTATACCCTTCTGATGCCATTGAGAGAAAGTTATTCAAATTCTTGTGTAGAAGCGGAAGATTTCTTACTCTCAGATCAGAGTAATCCGCAAGCCCTGAGAAGACCACCAGCAAAACCAGATGTGCATAACACGTACAAAAACCAACCACTGGGCAGCGGACAGGGTTGTTCCCTTCTGGTATTGAGAGGACGCCAGCACAATAAAACTGGTCTCATGGATAGGGAGCTTACCCATTTTGTGACCAGCTGACCCCCTTCACCAGCCTCCACGAATGGTGGGCGTCCCATAAACACAACCAGCATGAGCACTCCAAGGCTGAAAAAAGAGTTCAAAGGCACATGATGCTCAGGGCACACGATGCAGAGGAAGAGCCAGAGATGGAGGCACTTCACATGAATCTTGCCCCCTAAATGCAGTGTGCACAGATAGCAATTGGAGCCTCCTCAAATGCTTCCCAGGAGATTCCTGCAATGATTCGAAGGGACTCTTAAGGACTCCTGCAATGCTTTATGATGGCTCCCGCGATGCCTCTAAGAAACTATTGCTATGATGTTCAACGGACCGCTGCAATGACTTCCAAGGGACTCATGCAATGCATTCCAAGAGTCTACTGAAATGCTTTCTAAGGTTCCCTTGCAATGGTTTCCAAGGTTCTGTGCAATGCTTTCTACCGGACTCCTGCAAAGCTTTCTAAGGGTCTCCTGCAATGCCTTTTAAGGGTGTATTGCAAAGCTTTTCAAGGGTGTATTGCAATGATTTCTAGGAAGTATGTGCAGTTATTTCTTAGGGACTCTTGCAATGTTTTTTACGTGACTCATGCAATGCTTTGTAAGGGGCTCCTGCAGTTCTTTGTAAGGGATTCATGCAATGCTTTGTGAGGGGCTCCTGAAATGCTTTGTAAGGGACCCTACAATGCTTTCTAAGGGTATCCTGGAATGATTTTCAAGGAACTCCTGCAATGAGTTATTCCTACAATGCATTCTAAGGGACTCCTGCAATGCCTTCTAAGGGACTCCGGCAATGATGTCTAAGGGTTGCTTACAGCTAAGTTGGAATATACGCTACTTTGTTTTTGCGTTTTGCGTTTATACGCTTAACGAATTCGTATGCTGCGTATAATTTGAAATTTCGCCAAGTTGAATTTCGGGCAGATCGAAAAAAAAAACAAAATTTCAATCTGAAGCTCGCGACGTGGCGATCTCTATTTCGAGTCGCAGATGTCGCGAACTGAACTCGATTTTTGATTTGTGAGCTCCAAACCTCCTCAACCCCACCCCTCCACCGTTTCACACCCCTTTAAACCACAGCATTCCACCACCCCCTTCAACCGCTACTTTACTGGTTGGGAGCTCAACCCAACCCAATCTCCCAGGCATAAAGAGTGGCATTTGTTCACTCGATATTCATTCTCTCGCTTCCTATTCTAGCTAACTCTTCTCCCCAGCCACCATGGCTGCTACTCCTACAGCAACAAGTTCTCGTCCATGCATGAGCGGCAGGCGGGGGATTAAGGATGGACTTGTAGAGTAGGGGGAGGGGTGGTAGCATGAATGTGGTGGAGGAAGATGTAGTGGTAAATTATTTTTACGGTTTTTTTTTTTTTTCTGTAACTTTCATATTAATAAGAAGGGGATGGGGGTTACATCACCCCCCCATCCCCACCTCTTACCCCAAAAATCTGCCCGGGAAAAAGTTTTTCCCTGCCCGGGCAAGCGTATTCTTGTGCGTACCAGACCCCTCATGGCCAGCGTCTAGCGTATATACTCTCGCGTATATACGAGAGCGTACAAAACGCTAAACGCGTTTATTCCAACTTAGGCTTACAGTGCTCTCTAAGGGACTCTTGCAATGCTTACTAAAGGACTGCTGCAATGATATCTAAGGGGCTGCTGCAGTGCTTTTAAAGCGACTCTTGCAATGCTTGCCAGGGGTCTGCTGCAATGCTTTCAATGCTTTCTAAGGTTCTCCTACAATGTTCTGCAATGGTTTCCAATCCAAGGGTCTCCTGCAATGCTTTCGAAGGGTATCCCGCAATAAATTTCTGAGGGTCTCCTGCAAGTGCTTTGTACGAGCGTCTTGCAATATATAATAAAATTCTGCAATGCTTTCTAAGGGACTCGTGCAATGGATTTTAAGGGACTCTTGTAACGCTTTCCAAGTGTCTCCTGCAAAACTTTCTTAGGCCCTCCAGCCTCACCTGTACACATCGCTGGCAGTGGTGGCCTTGCATGTGCTGAAGTAGGCCGGATCCACATAGCCTGGTGTGCCCATGACGCGCGTCGTGCTTACAGAAGTGCTCCCCCCCATCCTCAGCAGCCCAAAGTCTGCAATCTTTGCCTGGTGATTTTGAAGAGAGTGATAGTGGCATGAGGGATGAAGAACAGAGCATGACAATTGGCTGCGCGTGGTGCTATCCACAACAGAGCATGTCTTGACAAAAAGAAACGTATGTGAATAAGGTTGAATATTTCTGGTTGCAGCAAGAAATGAGATATGAGTTCAACCATAAGAGGTTTCAAGTAGTGAATAATAGTCAGATACACACTATATTAGTACGATTGCATAGCTTCACCAACATCAACGGGCAAGATGTAAAGAAAAAGAAAAAAGAAAAAAAAGAAAAAAACGTTCGGGGCGAACACACTTCCTTCGTAAGGCGTTTGATACGAACCTGACGGTTTTCCGTCAAAACCAGCACAGCACGTCAAATTTGATGCGCTGCTTTTCTGCGTAGGCAAGAAAATTAACAATTGAGCTCTGCTTTGAGCTCTGTTTACGATACATTTAGCCACCAAGGTTCAAAATTTTAGCATTTTTTTTTATTTTTAGGGCAAAAATTACGCTTGCGAAACTTTCGGGCATAACTTTCGGTTGATTTCGCGAGTTCTTCAGTTTTGCATTTGGTGCAAATTTCGCCGAAATTTTCGGCGAAATTTTGAAACGTGGGTTGCAAGGTCGACAAATGTGCGAGAGTGCTTTGTTTGTTGTGTTTCAGATTGAAATCCGTTGCAATGAATCAGATTCTGAACATTGCTTGGATGCGACTTGACAGTCTTTGCTTGATTTTTTGGACAACCAGATTGCATGCGATTCATCTACATTTTCATTTTGTGATTTTGTCAAGCAGATCTGTCGGGAAACGTAACAACTATTTCGCAAGTTTCGTCCAGGCAAAATTTTGGGGTCAACAAGGCAGGGTTGGTGGCGCGAAGTGAAAGTAGCTCTCGCTTACACCTAAATCCAATTCGTTTTGGCGGGGTGGGGCTGTCAGCCAGTTCATTGGGCGATGCGCATGTACAGAGTTTGAATTTCGTGCACCAGAGACACCTTCTAGCACAGAGCTTTGGCACTCGACACCTCCAGTCCAGTCCGAAGAAGCGCTTCTCTTTCCTAGATCTTAGTTGATGATTAAATCAGTTTAGTTCACTGATTCGACCCATAGTCCTTCACCTTGCAGATCTTAGTTGCTTACCTCATCACGCTTCAGAATTCTTACTCAGCATCATCATGCCTAGAGCTCCTTCACCCCTTTGGGACCATGTTGTGAAGATTCCTGTTGGGAACGGGAATACCGTTCGCATGGCTTGTAAGTATTGTAGCTTGGAAGTTAGTGCAAACGCCATGAGAATCTCCGAGCACCTCTACGGCACGTCACCAAAGAAGAATAAAATAGATGTGGCCATTTGCGGATCAGATTTTGCTAAGAACCTTCGTGCTAAAGTGGAGCTGGATCGGTCGTCCAACTGCACCAGATCCATTCAAGGCTCCACATCCACCGTTGAATGAGGGGGAAATCGGGCTCGCCAAATGGACATTCGGGATGTGCTTGATGAGAAGGGACGAGAAAATGTGGACCTCCTTTGGCAGACAGCAGTTGCTGAAAATGATTGGGCATTCCGTGTATCGCAGTAAGTCCCGATCCACCGTGCAAAATCACCCTTGCTGCCGCCATATGCATCATGCATTCCTCCTGCACATGCAGGAGCACTTGCAAATTCCTTGCTGTTCACCCTTCCCTCTTGCATTCTTTACCTTGCTGCGGCTAGATTCGTACATCATGTTTTGCCTTGAAGATTCCGTTGCCAGGTTGCAATATTGATAAGGCTGCACAATCCCGCATGCATGCCTTGTCTAGATACTGCCCCAACCATCCACGCTTCCTCTCTCTCCGTTGCTGCTGCACCTTTCCCCCCTTTTCTGCACTTTGAAAACAGATCCCAGGCGTTGCAGGATTTTGTCAATGCAGCGATTGAGTTCGGGAAGCCGTATAAACTCCCATCATCTCCTTACAGAGTTCGTGGCCCATTGCTGAAAAAGCTGAAGGCTGACACGGAGTCCCTTGTGCAGCCACTGAAGGACACATGGTCCAACTCTGGCTGCACAATCTCCATGGATGGGTGGTCGTGCATGAAAGGTCGTGGACTGGTCTACGTGATTGCAAGCAACGATGCAACACCCATGTTGGTGGACGTGATTGACACCACAGGCGCTCGGCAAAGTGGGGGATGCTAAAGTTGTGCAGGTTGTCATGTACAAGGCAAGCAACAACAAGAGTGCAGCGTCCATTCTAAAGGATGAGTTCCCCAGCATTTTTTTCACAGATTGTGCTGCACATTGCCTAGACCTCATGTTGCATGACATTGGCGATACTGACGTAGTGAAGCGGGTTCTCACTCAAGTGCATCGTGTGGTCATGCTGATTAAGTCGAGCGCGAGCGCGGTTACATTGTTCTGAGAGGTCTTTGGCAGACTGGAGCTCATGCGGCCAGGTGCTACAAGGTTTGGCACACAGGTGATCATGATCACCCGTTTCTTGGAGTTGAAGAACGAGCTCAAGAAAAAGATGATTAGTGACGAATGGAAGGAGGTCCCTACAGCAAAGCAAGAAGGGGACAACAAGATCCGATACCTCAAGCAAGAGGATACGTTTTGGGACTCTGTGAAGCATGTGCTTAGCATCATATGCTTAGCATCATGTGCTTAGCATCATGTGCTTAGCATCATGTGCTTAGCATCATGTGCTTAGCATCATGTGCTTAGCATCATGTGCTTAGCATCATGTGCTTAGCATCATGTGCTTAGCATCATGTGCTTAGCATCATGTGCTTAGCATCATGTGCTTAGCATCATGTGCTTAGCATCATGTGCTTAGCATCATGTGCTTAGCATCATGTGCTTAGCATCATGTGCTTAGCATCATGTGCTTAGCATCATGGTCCCCGTGTACGACGTGCTCGCTGTTGACACGCGAGCGATAGTGATGGGGTCAATCTACGGCATGATGCTAGAGGCAACGAAGAAG